TAAATACCACTTTTAAGCTTGTAAAGTCATAATTACAAGAGGCAACTTAACGTCACAGCAGGCATAACAACAGCCGGTGTTTTTTGTGAGGGTTTCCCCGTGAAACAAACACAATACACACAAATGCGTCACAGATTATTTCGCGGTATTTGAAATCATGTACGCAGCTCGCGACGTAACTAGGAGTCTAGTGGACGGTATCAGTACTACAANGTGAGAAACGTTCCGCGGTGCAAAAATAAGTGCGATTAAAATGCGTTAATTTTTTTAACGCGTTAATTTTTGTGTAATTAATTAATCTTAATTAACGCGTTAAAGTCCCGGCCCTAATATATATATATATATATTTTTTATTAATTACGTTGTTTATAAATTAATCTGAGGGCCCTAAAAAGAGGAGTTGGGGGCCGCCATTTTCCCATCCCTGCTCTAAATGGAAACATAGCTTTTTGGTTGAATGTCACACTGTATTAAAGACGAAGTGAAATTTAGGAACTTACAACTTGTAGGGAAAATGTTTTCATTGGTAATTAATAATATAATTTACACGATCTGACTTCATATTGCAACCAGTGGAGTCGCCCCCTGTTGGTCAATACAAATAATGCATGTTTTAGCACTTACTGTATCGTTTTACTTTTGAGGCAAAGAAGTTGCAGTCTGTCCCAAAACCAGAAAACACATAGTCAACTTCCTCCATAGCTGTTCACATTCAACATTTATCTGATGTGACATAACTGCCAACCTTCAGCTGCTGCCGCCGCCGTGTTATTGAGTGACTTTGTCAGTCATCCTGGCAGCAGCCTGTGCTGATTCATGTCTCTCCTCCACTGAGCGCTTTACACCTGCTGACAAAATCAAGTTTCACACATCAGGTCAATGCCAACCACCACTGCCTCAACTCTTAATTTTAATGATGATCCTAACTGGAGTTGATGATGATAACCGGCCTCATGCTGACATTAAGTTGGTCAAACGTGATTAATTAATTGATTATGACATCATTTCTTTTTTTTAAATGACCATTTCTAATCTTATTTCATCTAGATTTCAAGAGAGAATATAACCTGGTGTACATCAGGGTCTGTTAAATGTGTGCTCAGATGATAATAGCTCACATACTTAAAGCCTTACCATCAATCTAAAGACATTAAACTATTAAACTACAGTTAAAAAAGCCTGACAGCTAGAGATCAGATGAACCTACACACTTGGACATTAAATAACACTTAAGAGTCTATAGTCTACACAGCGAGGCTTTAAACGTAATACAGCTGGAACGATTTGTCAACTTATAAAGAAAAACTGAAATAATCTATTTTTATAGTTGATGAATCGTTTTAGTAACTTTGAATGCAAAAGAGACTCTTTTCTGCCTCCCAGATAAGGACATTTCCTGTTCTTCACCATTTTATATTAGATTTATGTGACTATCATTGGGTTTTAGAGTGAAAGAACAAGACATTTAAAGACATCACCTTGGACTTTTAGAAACAGGAATTCACATTTTCCCACAGTTTTCTGACACTTTATAGAATAAAAATGTAATATATCTATCTAGAAATAATCAGTAGATTAATTGAGAACAAAAATAAGCCAGTACTGTCTATAACTGTTTTTGTTTTTTTTGGCAATGATGACGATGCACACAACATAATTATTTACAAAAATAACATTTAGCAGGGCCGGAAAATACCCAACAAAAGCCTAAATGAGTCAATGACGCAGTCGCAATGTTCTCACTGTAAATGTGCCTCCATGGAGCACTTTCCTTCAACCAGTGATGTAATATCTTTAACGGCACATCAGACTTTATAATGTGAGCCTGGCACAAGCGAGGGAACACTGCGAGGACATGAGGACGGTAATTTGAGGATATAATGTCGATCGGGGACCTTGCAGTCTGGGTGAGATATTAGTTTATTCAGCGTAGCAGATGTTATATTTGACCCAGCAGTCTGTTAGAACTGGTTAGAGAGGCATCATGCACTTAAATCTGTCTTCTTTGATTCGGACAAGATTTAGGCCCCGTCCACACAGAGATGATATCAGTTGAATCCGCTAACGTTCTCTATCGTATACGGTTCGTACACATGAGGCCGACACGGAAACACGGATTCGGGGCCCAAATCCGATACCCTTTGATTACGGCTCCCAAAGTGGGTAGGCTACCCACTTTGGGAGCCGTAATCAAAGGGTATCGGATTTGGGCCCCGAATCCGTGTTTCCGTGTCGGCCTCATGTGTACGAACCGTATACGATAGAGANCCGAAACGTGCTCTCTACACTTTTAAGCAGCGACTGGGTACTTACGAGTGGCTAGGGAGTCGCGGCGCGGCATACTGTGCTATTTTCTTACCCGCATCATAGCAACCACATCTTTTTCTTTTAAGTATCCCACGTTGCCCTCTGCCACACAACGTGTGTCCAGCCGCTCCACTCAACTCCGCGCTACCACGCCAGCATACGCTGCTGACCCCAACGCCCTCTGCGCTAGAGTGGCACCACCCACCACACTTCCTTAACATCTCTGCACGCACCGGCTACTCCACGCACTCTCATCAACCCCCTCAACCTACGCTCTATGCTCAAGCTTATCCTCCACTGTCATCCGAGTGGCATCCAATATGTTCCATCCCAGCCTTCGGCAACACAAAACACATCCGCTAGCCACACTGTGACGCCTACATGACCTCTGCTACTATCTCATCCCTCCGCCCCGCAAATACTTCTTCATCTCCACCTTACCACCTCCTACCACCAACCCCCCCACAAACCACATGATCGCCTGATTACTGCTTTACAACCATCTCAGTTCTTCCCGTAAGAAATCTCCCTTGATCAATGACTAACTTTCACTCAATGTGTCGGTCTTGCTGCATTTGCTGCTGCCTAAAGTTCGTAAATTGATTTACAATTCTACAATTCACAATAAAAAAACGGGTACAGCTGCCTGTTTTCTAACATGCGATTCCACGCCATTCTAACTCAGCCATCGCTCCAGCTCACAAATCGTACGTACCTTCAATACGTTGAATATCTTTTTCCGCTCTCTGCTTTCTGATAATATCCCACTGCAGAATAATCCTCAGCGTTACTGAGCCAGCCAGCCGCCCTCATCACCACTCCTGCTGGCGCCCCGCGCCACTTCATTGCAAGTGTATCGTTCATAACCTGGGAAACTTATTCAGTACTTTGTGCGAGTGAGTCGCCTTGATAGTCTGCAACTTCTCTCTCCCCTCATGTGCTCGTGATTCACTTGCTTCAGATCGACAACACTTCACTGCTGGAGTTCCAGCTGTCCTTGCAGTGAAGGGTAAGACAGTGTTTACAAGATTGACACCGCATAAACTACATTCCTTTACAGAGGCCGTCCACCCTTTTTAGTTTTTATTTAATAATTTTTTATATGGTTGTAGCAACATCAGATACTCCTCTCAAACGCCAGGTTAATCTTCTGATACCCAAACAACACCTTTTTTAAAATCATGCCATGTCCAAGCAAAAGTGTACTTGACATGCTAAACGCAGTCAGCTTTAGGGGGTGCGCTGGCGGTTTTGCTTATGCCAAGCTACAAGGTCCTCCTGTTGCAGCTTAATACTCTTACTGTAAGCGACAACTGAGCCAAAGCTAACTCCATTTTGCAACATAATCACGCGCATTTTCCTGCAAATGTCCGACCCGAAGCATCCACAAAGTACCAAGTCCATTTTAAATGCTAGCTTGAAAGAGAAATACACTTTAAACACATTAAATGTCCCCTATTATACTATTTTACATCAATATATTATAGTTCTCAGATATATACAAACATGTCTTTGAATTGTTTGGCTCTAAATACCAAACAGATCATTGCAGCATCCCATAATCCCCTCTGTTTCAGCCCTGTTTCTAAAGAGCTGATTCTGTGTCTGATACTTTAGATGAAAATAAGGAGCCCCTCCCCACGCCCCTCTGCGATATATTTGGTTAAAAAGAACACAATGGTGCTTTAGGAGGAGATTCAGGTGATAAGGGGGGGGGTGTGTTACCTTCGTTGGTTTTGGCTAATGATTACGGAACCCAAAAAAAAATTATGACATCATAAAGTAGTATGTAGTTTCAGACAGGTTTTTATATAAATGGATCAGGACAAAAAGTGAGCGAATCTTTTTTTCTGAAACTTTCAGAATGTCTTTACACAGAGGGGACACATGTTTATGTATAAAAGACATGGAAAAGTTGATTTTGTACAATAGGTGGCCTTTAAAAACCTTGCCAAAGTTTCAGTTTTTGATAAAGATGTCACAGTCTGCTCCATCATTCACCAGTAGTTTTCCATTCACCTGTCTCACCTGTTAACCACACCTACGTTTTTGCTCACTCTCTTTCTCTACTGCACCCATTAGCTTTACTGCCAGTATTTAAACCCTCACCAGACACACACCCGTTGCCAGATTGTACTTTGCCTTCATGCTAGTCTTTCACGCGTTTGTTACCAGATTGCCTACCCGGTTCCGACCCTGCCTGTCCCCGACCTGCCTGCTCTGCCTGATCCCTGATCCTGCCTGTCCTTGGACTATCCTGCCTTGCCTGCTGTCTGACCCTGCCTGTACCTACGCTGACCGCCTCGCCTGCTCCCTGACCCTCTGCCCGGCCCTGACTCACCTTCTGCCCGCTGTCCTCTGGTTTGTTTGCCTGTACATCATCCGGTATCCCTCTGCTCTGGTATTATTACCAATAAAGTAGATTACCAATACTCGAGTGCTGCATTTGGGTCCTTCATAAGATTGTGACAAAAGATGGATCTTGCTGAAGATTAGATATCAATTTCCTTTCCTTTCTGTTGCAAATAATTTTCTACGGACTTTAAAATAAATATTGTCGAGCACTCTACATTTCGTTATTGTCAGTGGCCATGGTTTTTCTCTTTATTAGAAGTATTTTGCAGTATTGCTCTGTGATAAAAGCAAGGTGAATCTGCACGTCTTAAACGCCACAGCCCAGGAGCAGAAGAGCACAGCTTTTCAGAAATTATTCTGTTTATCAGTTTATTCTTCAAAACGTTGGCAGTGCAGGCAGAAGAGAAAAGCGAAGACATATTCCTAGCCTCTAGGATGTTGTGAATTATTATATTAAATTAACAGACGTTGTGTTTTGAATTTGTAAAACGGTACATTATCATATGACTCGTGGTGATAACTCACATTTGGGCTGAATGCCATGCTTCCGCAAATATTTCATGAGACAGTAAATCATATCTTTGTAAAGCGACCTTGAGGTTATGAAAGGCGCTATATAAATTCAAGTTATAATTATTATAGGGAATGCACAGTACCTAAAGCCAAATTAAGGATAAATGGTGAACGTAAAAATAGGGACTGTTGCAGTTGGTGTGGATCTTGTAGTTTAACACTAATGCTTGGGTCACAGTGATGTACAGCAGCAGTTGTAGTAGTGGGGTATTAGTGTGTCTTTCATGATTCTCTAGGATGTTTACCCTTAACATGCTCATTAAAGATAAACTATCCCTGCTCCCTGTATGAATAACATATCTCTATGGCAGCTTGATTAATATACTGAATATTCAACTATCATGATCATGTGATAGCTGTGTGATCCACAGTGGAAGGCAGGCCCTTGAACACAGCTATGTAGTATTATACATTACAACACTGACACAGAGAAATGTGATATGTCATGAGCTGCAGCCATAATCTATGTCTAGGTACAGCTGGATAAACTTCATAAATCATTATCATGACACCTACATTTATTTATTCCCTCTCACTGAAGCAGCATGTTTCTCAGTTAAAGACTTTCCTCTAAGTACATGTGCACAATATTTATTTGCACACATAACTCAAGCAAGGTTATTTATTTCATCATCTTGGTCCACTTTAGCAAGAAGCACTGAACATTAAACTTGGACATTTAAAGTGGATTACCTTCTTTAAGTTAGATTTGTAATAATTTCCCATGCAATTAGTGCAACAGAAATATTTGTATTATACGTTATATATGATATGATATTATAATTCATATATTATAATTAGCTATGTAGCTAATATGGAAAAGGACATTCCATACATTTTACACTTTCACAAAAGTGGCTCCAGAAGAACAAACAAATGTAGCACTGCTCGAATATGTCCTTTCCTATTTCTTATTTTAGTCTTCTTGTTCAATAGTTTTGAAATTAAATTAGGCAAAATTACTCTTTTTTTAAATTTGTTTTGCTCTTTCTTTTTGAACTAAATCCTCTGCACTAACCTGCCTTAAAGTCAAAGCCATTTTGACTGTGACATCTATAACGCAGTTAAGGTGAACATCCTCTGTCTGCTGTATGACTAAATTGTTTTTTCCATGGCTGTTTAAAGATAATACAATCAGTGGGGCGAGGTTTGAAAAGGTCTGAGGAAAGTAAAATGTGGCAGAGTTCCAATTGATTTAAGTATTTCTATGCTTTAATTCTACTTTCTCTGAAAGGAAAGCAGAACTATTGATGAACCAAATTGAAACTCTTTGATACATTTAAGGAGGTTTTGAATGTCAAGAAAGTTAGAATTTGAGCTTTTATAAACCAGATGCAGAGACAGATGTCCGGGCGGGGGTGTATCCATTCAGAGTTCCCCCGAGTTCAAAGTTCAATACTGACTGTCGAAAATCCCTCGAGTTTAAAACTATTAAATGAGACAAGAGTCACATTCACAGCACATGTATTTCAACACGCTGAAATTGCTTTGCTTCAATGTGTATGGTAAAATACAGTGTGACATTTTCTCCACCTTTGAAGTGAAAAATAAGGGCCTTTTTAGGGACAATATGACATGAATAATGAGTAGATGTGGTGTCAGGGTGCTGGAAAGGCTACTTTTGCTATGCTGACATTAATAACAAAACAAGTTCAACAAGCCTTGGACATAATTCATACCTATTAGAGTCAGTATTCTGAGTTGTTAGAGTGAATTATCTTCATAGTCATCTAAAGCAGCCTCATTAAAGCACAACAGGAACATGTCTCTGACATCAGACACTATCTGCTGACCTTGAAGGAGGGAATGTATTATTAAAGGAATGTATTACACTCTGGAGAAATTAGCATGCTTTAAACTTCCTTCTAAAGTTTTTTTAATCCGCCTGCAGTTTTTCTGCCCTGTTTTATAAATATGTAATTAACTGTTAGTCATTCTTTGCCAATATGATGACATGGTGTTTGTCGATTGCATCTTCTATCGCATATTTATGTAGATTAGGTATGGAAAATCTAAAAGTGATGCGGTTATATTACAAAAGTTTATATGTGTACTTTCTATCACCACATATATTTACTATGTACATTCCTAAAACCATACACAAATCAGAAAGTCTTAAATTATAAAAAAGTTTATTTTCCATTGTATCCCTCTTTATACTTTGACCATTTTAAATACTTGACTTTTAGCTCAGACCAGTCCGCTAGGATTCTGAGGAGCCTTTGGCATCTATGAATCTCGCCATGGGAGGTGGGTGTTTAGCATGCAAGCATTGTTTGTAAGGTTGTGTGTGTGAATACAAATACGTTTGTATGTTTGTACCTTTATATCTCTATGATATGACGTGTGGGGCCGCAATAGAGCTGTTGGTTGCTGGTCCAGTTAGAAAAGGATTGTATTGTTGGGCTTTTTGTCACCTTTCGGACGTCTAACAATTGTCAAATCCTTTATTATTTCACAAAAAGCCACCAATAAAAATGACAAATGAATGATCTTAGGCCCTCCAAGTGTTGTTAGTGGTTCTTTGGAGAACGCCTGACCTCTATGTTAGAAACCACCGAACTCAGTTAACACATTTTATATAAAGTAGTTAAAAAGAATTCCACCTCGTCCAGTTACAGCAGTAAAATGCTGCTTACACGGTGTTGCATCATTAACAGTGTGTCATTTGAAGTCATTTAGCAGTTTTAAAGGGCAATTTTTCTGCAGCACTTTTGCTGTTGATAACTGGATTTTGAATATAGATGTTCAGTAGGTAATTAAAATGATTACTATTTCTTAGGTAAGTGATCTAAAGGGATCTTCCGTGGCAGCCAGCTTCCAGCCAACAGGTTCAGCATTGTCATGGGCATAATTTCCACTGGGGACAGGGGGGACATGTCCCGTTTGTGTCCCCCCCACTTTTCAAATGTGTTTTTTTCTTCTTCTTTTTTACATCTGTGTGTGTGTGTGTGGCGGGAGCGCATTTTGTGTGTGAGAGAGAGACAGAGAGAGAGACAGAGAGAGTTACGGGGGTTGCTGTTAGCATCTGGTGCTAGCTCGGAGCTAACGGAGATTAGAAGCTGTTTCAACAATAAGGAGAGGGAGAGTCCTCTCCTTTCGGACTGAGATAACGTCAGCTCAGGGAGGTAAAGGACTCGCTGAGTGATTATATTATAAACTTTAGTCTAAGTTATCTCAGTGGGTCTCAAACGGTTTGGTCTAAACAAATATTTCCATCTATTTAATATAGTTGTTAAAAATAAGTTAAAAAATAATTCCAATGTCAGTAAAAAATTAAAACACAGTTTGAAAGGGGAGTGATTAGTAAAATACGCATAAATAAAAAGAAAGAATGCAGACTAGGTAAGATAAAGATATAGATAGGAGTATATCGATGATTTCTTATTGGTTGTGAGCATATTCTAATGGCTTTTGGAGTATTGAAATATATACAGTTCTGTTTCATATGAGTATTGAGAGCTGTATCCATAAATCTCTTAATTTGTGCACCAGATTGATGCCTTTAACTTCAATTTAAAGAAAAATATCTTACCGGGGGTGCATGCCCCCGGACCCCCCTATAGGATGTGAGGTCATCACAAATAAAACAGGTTCATGGATAGATAAGTTTGCACACTCATTATATACTGTACACTACACGTTATTCTTGGATTAGTTAACATCATAGTCCCTAATATATATTTGTAGAAAGGCAGGAAATGGAATTAAATCGAGAACAATGTTTCATTGCAGAGGACCCCCTGTTTTGTGTCCCCTCCACTTCTCAAACCAAAGTTACACCCTTGAGCATCGTAACTCTGCATCTCCGTCCCTGTTTGAGTGCTCCACCTCAGCAACCCCCGACAAAAAGATCTAACGCGGCCGCTGCCTGATTCAAGTTTAATCAATAGAGCTGACTGAGGAAGACAATCTCCAGCAACAGGGTTTGAATATTAACAAGAACCAATTTCCCTCACTACCTACAACTTTAAAAAAGTTATAATCTCCGACGAGACAAGTGAACTTTAACTCACATCCAAATCTTTTGTAATCACTAGCAGTGTTTTCAATTCTCATCTACTTCACTCTTCACACAGGCCATGCAGATAAGAGAGAACTGTTGAAAGAAGGATTCAGAACAGCTGCTCTATCTCAGCACAAAGTACAGTGTGCATATTCCTCAATTTGCATTAGTAAATGCCAAGAATCTATCGTCAGGTGATAGTTTATAGATATGAGGTGGCTGAGACTGAGGCCAAGTTGGCTCATTGCAAGAGATCCGGATGTTATTTAATAAGTTTGCTAAATTAAGTTATTTAATAAGTTTGCTAAATTACCTCATGCCACCCTTTCTTTCTTTTCTTTATCTTCTTTTCACTTCCCCACATCCTATCACTCTTCTCACTTTATGCTCTGATGCTTGAAAAAGTAGTCTCTGTTTTAGTATTTGTGCTGTAAGGAAGAGTGATTTGCTTTAGTTTCAAGCTAAGGGAAAGCTTT